GCCAGGTAACATTTATGTTTTATAGTTATAAGTGAATGTTTCTTCTAATATAGTTTTCCAAAAGTTCAAATATATATTTTTTTCCCTGTAGTTTTTTTTTTAGGTTTTATGTTTTTGTCTGTTTTGCCTTTCTGCCTTAAAATAAAAGTCTTTATTTGTTAATTTTTTGCATGTAAAGGCATTTGCTTTGTAAATATAAAGTAAAGGCATTTAAGTTATTATTGCTCTAGCTCAGTTGTTCTGTAAATGTCAGGAAATATATATATATATATATTTTGTACTGTAGTCTTTAAGGTTTAAAATTTCATTTGTTATACCTTCATGCCTTTAAATGGAAATGTTTATTTGTTAATTCTCTGTATGTAATGGCAGTTATAACAAATTATTTTCCTTTAGCTTTTGGAAGATTCAGTACACTGCATGCTCAGGTGCTTAAACATCAGGATAAGTTCAGATTGTGATATAGTGTAAACAGAAGTTTCAAATATTTTAAATAACTTTTATTATTTTTGATAAATGCATTCAATTTAATTTAACCCCAAATACAACATGAAAAATCAAGTGGTGAAACAAATAATATTTTATTAGACATGGATTCTGGTAAATATGACTTTCAGTAAAAATATATATGAAAATATACACACATCAGTGCAATACAACGATGAAAGATATGTTATATATACAAAAGAAAAAGAAAAATCAAGCAGCATGAAAAGGAAATAAATACATAAGTGATCTATCACAGGTACTTATAAAGGTATAGTCTATATTTTCAGATATTTTATGAGCTATGAAAATAAGTATCATATTCAAAATAAAATAAAATGTGAAAAAAAAAATATATATAAGGCAGCATTAACTGCAAACATACAAACAGTTTGATGCAAGAAATTTAGATACAATTCATCTAAAAGGACAGCAACTCCCGCAACAAGCCCAGCAGCGTCGGCCATGTTGGTATGTTTGTTTACAGTAATCAGCTGAGAGGCGTTTCACGTGGCGGAACCGTTCACTCTGACCGTTTTGGGCTTGTGCAAGGCGCACCGTGCGGAAAGGCCCAAGTGAACACACGGGTCCGGACATCATACCCTACCGGCCAGACGACATACTCAACCGACTCTGTCATTACTACATCATCGCCACATCATAAGGTACCGGAATAGCAGAAGGTAGGCCTATTACCGGACTGACAACCCTGGAAGTTATACGTGGATTCCATTTGGTTTAGATGGAATTCAAGGCCCCTAATGCAAGGTATGACCAGACTTTTGTGCACAATCTATGGCCTCCTCAAATGGCTTAAGGATTTCTAATGTGTCTTTCAGTTTGATCATACACACTCAGTGTTAGTACTCTGTCTATGATGGTTAGCTTTCGTTCAGGAATCTTATCATTCTCACTTTCCAAAACATCAGCGGCAATGGTAGATTTATGTGCAGAGTGTGGGCGAAACATGAATTGTGTGCTTCGCTGGCAGAACTTCAAATAAATAATTTTTTTTCGACCAAACTCTCAACATTCAGATCCACTTCTAGTTCGCTTTTAGAATTTGAAGGAATCCATGTAGTTGTCAAAACTCCCTGAGAAGCCGGGAAGTGAAAATGCTGTTGTATTCGCAGCATTACCTGTTATGATTGTGATTTTTGAATGTATGTCAGAGATTTGTACACTTTCTTCATACTCTTCCATAGTGTGGGCTGTGCGTCGGCCACGGAAGCACTTACAGGCCAGAATGGTTATTTTCAAGGACAAAACATGACTGAAATTAGCAGTTTACTCCTAAGTTAGATCTCATCTGCCTGCTAGACCAAATGTCAAACATCAGGCTAACAGTCTGTTCACACTCTATCTGGTACCGAGGATCAGCAGGCAGCATCTGACCATGGACGTAAGAGCTCTCTACTACAGAAAACGGAAAAAGGTTATTTGCAACAAAAATGACACGTGCATCCAGGGCCATCGCGACGGGGGGGGGGGGGGGATTGGTAAATTTTGACAATTTCTGCTGCCAATTAGTCGGCACTCTCTACGAATGGTTCACACAAGTTATTGTGTGACTAATAAAAGCACCAATGCCCAATGACCACGCCCTTTGTCGGCAAATTTGAAAAATTACACCCCCCCTGCAATGCTGCCTTCCCGACGGCCCTGCGTGCATCGTTGAGTTGCTTTTGTCTAACATTGTGAGGCAAATATGTCTTAGGATGTTTGACAAACCCATCCAGAGTTGATTGCTAGTCTCCCCTGGGCTGTGACTTGTGCATGTTTCCTCATACACCTTGCTGTGTTTTCTCTGAAAAGAAACAACATAAATGTAATACCCTGAAAACATGCACATAGGGCGAGACATATGTCACATCTCTTGCTACCAGTCCCCAGTTATACATTTTCCAGTCAACCATATGTTACTCATATTGAGCATCAAATAACAAAAGTAACAAAAACATAACATTTTATGCAAAAATGCCTAATGGTTATTTGAGGATAAACGTCTCAGTGTTGACATTCATTGACATTTTGGGGAGAGTTTTAGAGGAAAAGGAAAGACTACCCTACGTCTTCCCATATACAATGCCAATCAACCACGCTTGGGGTAATTTGTAGGTTGTGAACCCTACATTACACACACCAAAAAAAGCCTTACCTTCATATGTTTGTGTAGGCTGGAAGTTACATCCTTGGAGCAGGAAAGTTTCACTTTGCCATGCTTATTTTTTTTTTTTTTTTAATTCCAAAAGTACAAGTATATAAAAATCTGTACTTAAGTTCAAGTACAAATACATGTACTCGAATTACTGTTACTCGCCACTGAGTATATGGCACACTCTATGATCAATATTGTAACGTAGCAAGGTTTTCTATTTATTGAATCCGTGTTTGGATCTGAGTAAAAATAACTTCATCAGCTCGTTTAGCTGCCACTAGCTAGTGCAGCTGCGAGAAGTGGTTGTAAAGGTCGCAGTCATATTTGTATGTAAAAAAAAAACGTTTTCAAGATTCAGGAAATGTGCAGATGTAACTATTAATTGTGTTGAAAGATTAATGGTCACCAAACTCCACGGGTTTTACCATTCCGACAATGATAATAATAAAATAAAATAAAATAAGATAAAATAGATTTAAAAAAAAGATAAATAAAATAAATAATCAAGGAATCGTAATTGAAAATATTCCACTTTCAAGCCAACGGAGACATATTCAATGTTTTGCAGTCACTTGTTAAAAAAAAGTCGAATGGCTTATTTCGTGTTTAAAGATATAACTTGAGGAACTTTTGAATACTTCTACTCTACCAATCAAGCTCTTTATTACAGCCAATTAAGGTTTTTGCCTCATTCATAAAAATAGGTAGTTCTGAAATTCACCCATTAAAAGGCGCGATGAATTAGATTGTTGTGCATCATGTGATGTAGATTCTCTCAAAGGTCATATCTTTTATTTCGTTTGTGTGTGAGAGAGAGAGAGTGGGTGTGTGTCTGTGTCTGTCTCTGCTTGTGTGTTCCCTGGATCCTCATATACTCCAAGGTAGCACAGGTAAATACATCGGCAGTTTTATACATTGGAATATGAATATGAAGGAAATTAATCATTGAGATATAGGAAATTAATCATTGAGATATGAATATGAAGGAAATTAATCATTGAGATATGAATATGAAGGAAATTAATCATTGAGATATGAATATGAAGGAAATTAATCATTGAGATATGAATATGAAGGAAATTAATCATTGAGATATGAATATGAAGGAAATTAATCATTGAGATATGAATATGAAGGAAATTAATCATTGAGATATGAATATGAAGGAAATTAATCATTGAGATATGAATATGAAGGAAATTAATCATTGAGATATGAATATGAAGGAAATTAATCATTGAGATATGAATATGAAGGAAATTAATCATTGAGATATGAATATGAAGGAAATTAATCATTGAGATATGAATATGAAGGAAATTAATCATTGAGATATGAATATGAAGGAAATTAATCATTGAGATATGAATATGAAGGAAATTAATCATTGAGATATGAATATGAAGGAAATTAATCATTGAGATATGAATATGAAGGAAATTAATCATTGAGATATGAATATGAAGGAAATTAATCATTGAGATATGAATATGAAGGAAATTAATCATTGAGATATGAATATGAAGGAAATTAATCATTGAGATATGAATATGAAGGAAATTAATCATTGAGATATGAATATGAAGGAAATTAATCATTGAGATATGAATATGAAGGAAATTAATCATTGAGATATGAATATGAAGGAAATTAATCATTGAGATATGAATATGAAGGAAATTAATCATTGAGATATGAATATGAAGGAAATTAATCATTGAGATATGAATATGAAGGAAATTAATCATTGAGATATGAATATGAAGGAAATTAATCATTGAGATATGAATATGAAGGAAATTAATCATTGAGATATGAATATGAAGGAAATTAATCATTGAGATATGAATATGAAGGAAATTAATCATTGAGATATGAATATGAAGGAAATTAATCATTGAAATATGAATATGAAGGAAATTAATCATTGAGATATGAATATGAAGGAAAATCAGTGTATTTTACAATGCTGAGACTATATATTTCTCACTGAAGTACAACACGTGCGTTCCATACAAAGGAAAGAGTCCTTGGAAAACATAAAAGCAAGATGTGATTACAAACACTGTCGTTATTACATGTGTGAAATGGTATGCAGTTCTTCGAAGGCAAAAGCTAAACAGGTATCGTTATGTATGGATCTGCTTTCACATACCCTGTAATACTACTGACAGTAAGTCTCATCAGCAGTGTTATCGCTGATCCACGTGAGGAACTCGGTGACTCGAACATACACACCGGTTTTAAGACAACTGCTCCCAAAAGAGACAATTCCCGCCTGGGTGTATTTCCCATCTTCTCTGACGAAAAGGGGACCGCCAGAGTCGCCGGAACAGGCACCCTTTGCGCCTTTGTTCTTTGACTTCTTCCTCCCTGCGCACATCATTTGTGGGGTGATTAGAGAACCAGCTATTTTCTTACGTTTACAGTCCCTGATGGGTACATCGACCTCCCTGGCAGCGTCTGAATAGGCCCCTTTCCCGTTCTTTGTGTCTCCCCAGCCTATCACGGTCCCAGTCTCTCCCTCATACTTCCTGTTCGGGTTAGAAGGCAGACACACTGGTCGAACTTGGGATGTCAAGTCCAGCGATTCTTTCAAACGCAGGAGAGCGATGTCGTTGTTATTATCAGTAAGATCTTGAGGAACGTAATCTTCATGGATGATGTAACTTTCCACATCCACTGCCCGAGTGACACCCTGTATGTCGTCATCCTCAGAATTGTAATTGTGGTTGGCAATTCCCACTTGAAATTCTTTTGCTGGTAAAGGTAGCCTATCCTCACCTAGTAGACAGTGCGCGGCAGTTAAAACATATTTCTTGTTAATGATAGATCCGCCACAGAAAAATATATTACCGAGTCTTTTAGGATGAAGCATACCAACTAGCCAAGGATATTTGTTCGGAGGAGATATCTCTTCACCTCCTATGATACGGGCGTCATTTGCCACACCACACTCGCACGAACCTGCAATGGTGTATATGTGTCAAAAAAGAAATCAATTAACCATGCATAAAACACATATTTGTAAATTGAGAAAAAATAGATTTGGCTGACCTGTCTTAGGAATACAACAGGCGCAGTCTGCCCCCTCACACTCGTCGCTGATGACGGTCCCATCTGCGCACAAATCCTTTCCAGAATTCTTGAAGCAGAATCCTCCCCGGAGTTGACACCCCGGAGTGACGGCGCAAGAAGGATTATCTGTAAGTGTATATGCGTGTATATGGACACATGTGTTTATATATGTGGACACATGTATTTATATACACAGTTATATATATACTGTAATGTTAACTCCAAATTAGTTCTATCTACTAATATTTTGTTACTTCACTTGTCTGTAATGGATGAATGCAAATTACATTGACATGATATGTAAAGTTAAGCCAAATCCTGCAACATTTTCTTGGTTAAATAAAGCTGTTATTATGTAAACTGCTCACAAAGAAGTATCAAGATAAAATGAAAGGTTTTAAAAATGCAGCTAGCACGTTTTGTATTTACGAAAAAAATACGGCCTAGGAAAAAGGTACACCAATACTCACTCCCCAAACAGCATTTGCAACTTGCACCCTTGCAGAGGTCATCGCTGGTGATCTTTAAACAAGAATCATCCATTGCTATACATTCGCCCCCTTGCTTGGTGCAGCTTCTTTTCTGTCGACATTTTCTCTTCAGCAAACTACTGTCTGTAAAGTGATAAACATTACTTTCATCTAATTATTTCATATCTAACTGCTGCTGCTGCTCTCTCTCTCTCTCTTTATGTATACACACGCACACACATATATAATGAATTGCTAATTGACCGTCCTCACACAATATCAATCAGTATTAAGAGAGAACCAGTGTAAGTGCCGCACTGTGAACAGAATCTCAACCAGCACTGTGCTTGCAGTTAGGAAAACACATCTGTAATGAAACCACGTCTTGTTTGTAGACGGGTTTCTGAAGTTGAGGGTAAAGAAGAAAACGGGTTTCTGAAGTTGAAGCTAAAGAAGAAAATGGGTTTCTGAAGAAGAGACTTGCATTATGTAAAGGGAAGGCTATACTTACACGTGTAGGTTTGGAAAAGGGCAATGCACCCAGTGATTGCTAGAGTTAAGGAAGGGAAACCGTTATATCTCTAAATATTCTCCATGAAATGTTTAGAGGTATAGGCCACATACCTTTTCTCGTGTCATGGCATGATTCAGAAGCTATCAATAAAATCTCCCATGGAAAATTAACCTGTGAAAGTATAGTCCTCATTTTACGTATATTTTCCAGATCTCTTCAAACATGTTGGAAAAAGCACTTTCCTACCGAACTCAATCCCACCTGCCTGCCCTCATGAGAAAAGAGAATTTCCATGACTCCGTACGGCTAAATCAGTCAGTTACCCAAAACATCCAACCAAATACTGTTATAAAAAGCGAGAGAGAGAGAAGAAAAAAACATTAGCATTTTGTCCAATCACCTCCAGCCTCAGCTCTATATCCAGGAACAAACCACAGGAGCAAAAACAACCAACTATTGTCAGTTCATCCAGTAACAACAACTGCTAACGCGAAGAGCAGCACCAGATCCTACGCCGCACGGGCTGCGACAGACGAAGCGAACGGGTACAGACACCTATGACCAGTGTTCATGTAGAAAACGGAGACTATTATATTCGTAGTAATCCCTCCCTCTCTCTCTTCCCTCCCCCCCTCTTTTTTTTTCTCTCTCCCCTCCCTCCCTCTCTCTCTCTCTCTCTCCCTCTGTCTCAATAGCCTCACCTTTCTGGCAGCAGACTCGGCCATTCCCACACGTCCCTTTCAGTCTCACGCAGCCTTCCTTATCGCCGGCTCTGCAGACACCGCCTCTGCCTGCACACTCATTTGTCTGGGAAGATTGCGCAAGACAGGATGAATGCACAAAAAATATTGTGTAAGACGGGATGAATGCCCAAAAAATATTGTGCAAGACAGGATGAATGCTTAAAAACAGATTGCGCAAAACAGAATAATTCCATCAAACATAGCCACAGCAGAAGGTTGTAGAAAACAGTATAGAGATATATCTTGCAGGCCTATATATTCTGTATCTTGGGCAGTCCCAGACCTTCAGAGAAATATTCAAAGATGGAGTCGCATCTACTTTATATACATATATATGTATATACATATTATGTATGTATGTATATAAAGTCACAAACAATAAAGATTTAAAGAGACAATCAAATATGTATATATATTCACATATATATAATATATATGTGTGTGTGTGTGTGTGTGATCACTGATGCAGCGTTTAACAAACTACTTGAGGCCATGTTGACATCATGTAGTTGACTGGGTCTTGATACTGGGGCGGCTGACCATTGATCCTTCCCCAGGGGAGTAGTTGTTTAGGTAATCATTGTTGGTGGTTCTCAACTCACAATTATTTCTGCGATAGACGGCCACAACCGCATCTAGGTTTGATTTACCCAAATTAGCAAATACGTGCGTGTGTTCACGCGCGTGCGCGGGCGATGTATGTGCACATGAATGCAAACACTCATATGCTCGCAATGTGCGTGCGGATTTGCACGTATTTGCTAAAGTTGGGAGAGAGGGAGAGAGAGAGAGAACGAGTGAATGAGTGAGTGAGTGAGAGATAGGGAGAGTGTGAGAGAGAGAGAGCGTGTGAGTGAGTGAGAGAGAGAAAGAGAGTGAGTGAGTGAGAGAGAAAGTGAGTGAGTGGGTGAGAAAGAGTGCGAGTGAGTAAGAGAGAAAGTAAGTGGGTGAGAAAGAGTGGGAATGAGCTCGGAGTCGCATGATACTGTAAATTTCGAACAAATCTGTGTGTTTTTCCTTATTCTTATTTGTTATTTTCTTTGAGTGTGAAAGTATTTCAGCAGTACTTTTTGTACTCGATCAGACTGCACTGCATAAGGCTAGGCCAAAATGTTTCTCAGTGACATACACACATATATGTGTGTTATGGCGAAACAAAATAGCGGAAATATACAGACACGTCATTCTACTTCCAGTTATCACTGAAGGAAAATGTGACACTGTGACTGCTCAAGAGGTACATTAGGGGTTGGGGGAGGTTGAAAATATATGGCATACCATACCTCGGCCAGCCCAAAGGACACAGACAGCGCCACGATAACAAGAAGTAACTGCGTCTTCATGATTCCTCTTGAACCGGGGCCCCAAGCGTTGGTCCACTTGCAAGTATCAGCGCCTGGTTCTTCCTGTGGAGAGCTCAGCGCGCGTTTGTTCTCGGTGCGAGATTCCGGAGAACTCTGCCCGCCGAAAGAGAGAGCAAGAGAGTGACTGCTCCGTGTTGTATGTGGTCTTTAAGTGGTCTTTGCACTTTTATGCCAAAACACACACACACACACACATACACACACACACATACACACGCACACACACACACGCACACACACACACACACACGAGCGCACGCACACACACACATGCACATACTCTCTCTCTCTCTTTCTTACACAAGCACACGCACACCTGCTCTCTTGTTACGTCACAACAACAAAGGAATAGCAATTAAAATAACGAAGAAAAAAAAATGGGATGGAACATGAACTGTCAAGAGGTAATAATGTATACTTTCTTTTGATATATATTCATATAACTGTATATGTGTATATATATGATTATATATGTGTGTGTGTTTATGTTATACATATGTACATATATGTGTATACATATGTATGCATGTATATATATACGTATATATACACATATATACATATATATACACATATATACATATATATTCAAATATATATATATATATACATATATGGGTAGATGGTCGAAAAATTGCTCTCATTATCGACAACTGCCCTGCTCATCCAACGTTGTCCAATTTGACCAACGTGCAGCTTGTCTTTCTGCCACCAAATACGACGTCTATCTTGCAACCAATGGACCAAGGTGTCATTCGCAGCCTCAAAGCGTTGTTTGTCTGATTTTCAGAGCTCTCGAAGAAAAAAAAGCCTTGTCCAAAGATATCAATTCTGCAAGGAATGAAGTTAGTGGCAGATTCTTGGGAACTCGTATCCAAAGAAACCATTGTAAACTGTTTTAGGAAGGCTGGTATCACCCCTGATGGCCAACAGGCTGCCATTGATGATTCTGATGACCCGTTTAAAGATCTTCAAGAAAGCTTGAATAACTTGAGGAAAGCAGATTCATCAATGGTGCCGAATGATGTCACCGCTACTGCTTTAGTGAGTTTGGACGACGACGTCATTGCAACAGCCTCTGAGATGAATGAAGATGATATCATGAGCAGGCTGAAGAACCAAGAAAACGAAGAGGAAGCTTTAGAAGTTTTGAAAGATGCTGCCATGTTCAGTGACAAAAGTGGACAGATGAAAAGAGCGATTTTTGATTCTGAACGGCTTTATGAAAGTGATCGAGCAGAATCTCATAAGCAAAAAGACATTACACATTTTTAAAATCCTGTATCGAATTAGAAATTTCTGATTGTAAAATCTTTAGAGCACTGAAAATTGAAGTCTAACACATCTTTAATTAATCTTTGCCAACCCCTTGTTGCTGTATCAGTAAAAAATTTGATTTTTGAAGCAATTTTCTCTCTCTCGAACTTTATCTCGAACAATTTTTTTGGTCCCTTGCAAGTTCGAGATAGAGAGAGTTCACTGTATACATATATATATTTAAATATATATATGTATATATACTTATATACATATATATATTTAAATATCTATATATATAGACATATACATATACATATTTAAATATATATGAACATATACACACACACACACATATATATATGTCTGTATTTCTGTCTCCCCCTTTATAAACAAGGACAAATATATAAAAGTACAAAAATAGCCTAACAGGTCAATTACCTCTAAAACAACTATCCAGCTTTCCATCATTATTAAAAAAAGGTACATTTGCAAATATGGTGTTTCCCAGGTAATGTATGTACATTCATAACCTAGCACGTTTCCACACACAGGCACACGGACGCATGCACGCAAGCACGCATATATATATATTTATGTATATATGTATTTCTGTCACCCCCTTCATAAACAAGGACAAATATATAAAAGTACGAAAATAGCCTAACAGGTCAATTACCTCTAAAACAACTATCCAGCTTTCCATCATTATTAAAAAAAAGATACATTTGCAAATATGGTATTTCCCAGGTAATGTATCATCATTCATCATTGGGGAGCTAACGCCGGTAGGATCCTCCACCGAGTGCTGACGAGGATGTGGTTGATCTCCTTGGCCACACTACCCGTATCGCTGTACCAAGTCCAGCGATGCGGGTCAGAACGCTGATACCAGGAGCCAGAGATCCTCAATTTCTGGGATCTAGCAAAGTCACGGAAAAGGAGGCTATTCTCGCTGCCAGCATCAGCTCCTGAGCCATGGGGACCGACAGACATCTCGTAGCCAGCTCGATCACAGCCGGATACCGCATTGAAGTCGCCCAGAACAATATGATTATCTCGCTGAGAACAACTGTCTGCCACAGATGCAAGTTTAGCATAAAACATCTCTTTCACCCCAAATTTATATACATCCGTAGGAGTGTACACAGCAATAAGAGACATGAAGCCAAATGAAAGCTTCAGTCTCAATACCATTATACGATCATCGACTGGAGTGACCTCTACTACCGAGGGTTGAAGTCGGCTGGAGATGGCTATGGCTACTCCCTGGAGATGGTGGCCAGCGCTGCAGCCCGACCAGTAGTAAGTGTAGCCACCCACACTAATCGTGCCGCTGCCAGGTCTTCTCACTTCCGAGAGAGCAACCACCTCAACTCTCAATTCCCTTGACAGTAGTGGTAACCGATCATCCTGTCGCAGGGAACGGACGTTCCAAGCCCCCACCGTGACAGCCCGCCTGAGGTCAAACCTCTGGCAGTGACTCCAGGTGGGTGCCACCTCTGCCACCCCTACCGACGCCGCCCCATACAGAGGTTGGCTGGCTGCAGGTCCCATAATTCGCCTGCAGGGCTCCCGGGGGCTTTCCCCCACAAGCATCACGCCAGGCTGGCGGCAGCTGGGACCCAGATGGGATGATGGGTAACCCCCCCTCCCCGCCCGAGTCCCAGCGGTCGCCAACCCAGAGGGACCCACAGCCTGCCGTTCTTGCTGGGTGGGAGGGGCTTTAGCCCTCCCCCCAGCACCAACACCTATATGACTTGTTGCCAGTAGAATTGTCTCGGAGGGGCAGACTGGCTAGGCCTGCCTCCCCACAACCGCCCATTAACCCCAGGGGGCACGGGGGCAGGTGTTGGTACGAAGCCAGGGCGTGTGCACACGCCGGTGGGCCATGACTCCATAGCTTTAGGGCCTCCTGCTGCTCCAAGAGCCTCCACAGTTCAGCCTAGGACCGCAAGGTACCTAGTTTCCGTGGGTGGCCATGAGGAGGCACTGCAGAAGTCTTGATGATGGAGAGGCTATGAGCTGGCAGGGGAGTCTTATGCAAGGCTGCTCCCTTTTCACACCAGGCTAGCCAGCGGTGGCAGCTGTAAGCGAGAAGGCATGCAAGCACTTAACACTACCTAGCCTACCACACCATTGCTTCACATCACCCCGAGCATGAAGCACTCACCCATTACATTACTCAGGTAATGTATGTACATTCATAACCTAGCACGTTTCCACACACAGGCACACGGAAGCATGCACGCAAGCACGCACACATACATGCGCCGACGGCCCTGCGTGCATCGTTGAGTTGCTTTTGTCTAACATTGTGAGGCGAATATGTCTTAGGATGTTTGACAAACACATCCAGAGTTGATTGTCTCCCCTGGGCTGTGACTTGTGCATGTTTCCTCATACACCTTGCTGTGTTTTCCCTGAAAACATGCACATAGGGCGAGACATATGTCACATACTCTTGCTACCAGTCCCCAGTTATACATTTTCCAGTCAACCATATGTTACTCATATTGAGCATCAAATAACAAAAGTAACTGTAGTGAATTTCCCTTGGCTTCAGGCTTCCGGGCCGCCTGTTCCCCTGACGTTACGGTTGTCTATAGATAATCTACGGACTCCTCCGCCCTGCAAGATGACGTGGTTTTCCTGTTTTCCTGTGTTTATTTGTCTCTGCCTTTATAAGAATAAACCTGTGTTTTTATACTCTTTGACTTGCCTTTCTTTGGTCCGTGATCTACATCTACATCTACATTACTTCTACTATACGTAACACTACTTGTACTTGCCTTATGTTCCATACTTACCTTGTCTTATTCTTGCCTTTTTGCCTTCGACTAATTCACCTTAGCTCTGTTTCTCTCTTCGTGTTTTTCCCGTTTTCCCTCACGGATCCCTTCTTTCACGTTTTCATACTTTCCTATCTATTATTTATTTTATGTGCCCATTTTTGTATAGTTTTATGATTTCTTTTTATTTTATGTATTTTAAAGATTATTTTGAATTCACCATGCACTGTTTAGTAAATCAAACGAAATTCATTATGGGTAAAACCTCACCAAGCGCGGGAAGCCACCAGCATAAAAGGGCAAGCCAGGTCGGTCAGAGGGGAAGAGGCTTTTATCTTGTGTGGTGACAGATCGTTGGATTTTTAGCTGGCTGACTGGTGCCTCTCGTGCTGTGGCGGGTTGCCTCTGTGTATCAAGTAAGTGTATGGTGTGTTGCCACGTATATTGGCTATGTTCAGAAAGATTTGTGCGTAATAAATATATAATATGGATGTTCTTTTTATGTTGCCTTTTTAGTCAGCCAGTGATGTTCTTTTATTGTTCTTTTATCACCCGAGAGTCATCTCCAAAATACGCCAAACCTATTGGAGATTACCTGTAGTTGGGTAACACGCTACCAAATTACCATCTCTAACTCTACGGAGTTTTGATTATCCACTACAATAACAAAAACAGATAACATTTTATGCAAAAATGCCTAATGGTTATTTGAGGATAAACGTCTCAGTGTTAACAAGAGTATTCATTTTGGGGAGAGGAGTTTTAGAGGAAAAGGAAAGGCTACCCTCCGTCTTCCCTTATATAATGCCAATCAACCACACTTGGGGTAATTTGTAGATTGTCAACCCTACATTACACACAGGCAAAAAAGCCTTACCTTCATATGTTTGTGTAGGCTGGAAGTTACATCCTTGGAGCAGGAAAGTTTCACTTTGCCATGCTTAATTTTTTTTAAATTCCAAAAGTGCAAGTATATAAAAATCTGTACTTAAGTTCAACTACAAATACATGTACTCGAATCACTTTGTTACTCGCCACTGAGTATATGGCACACACACGCACATTCTAAGATCAATATCGTAACGTAGCATGGTTAGTGTAGCTGCGAGAAGTGGTTGTAAAGGTCGCAGTCATATTCATATGTTAAAAAAAAACAAAAACTTTTCGTTTCAGGAAATGTGCAGCTGTAACTATTAATTGTGTTGAAAGATTAATGGTCACCAAACTCCACGGGTTTTACCATTCCGACAATGAAAAAAATAAAAAAGATAAAATAGATAAAAAATAAATAAAACAAATAAATAAATAAAATAAATAATCAAGGAATCGTAATTGAAAATATTCCACTTTCAAACCAACGGAGACATTCAATGTTTTGCAGTCACTTGTTAAAAAAAAAGTCGAATGGCTTATTTCGTGTTTAAAGATATAAATTGAGGAACTTTTGAATACTTCTACTCTACCAATCAAGCTCTTTATTACAGCCAATTAAGGTTTTTGCCTCATTCATAAAAATAGGTAGTTCTGGAATTCACCCATTAACCCATTCGCGCCGGCCGTCACGTATACGTGACGGGCCCACTTTGAGTTTACTTATTTGATTGTTTACAAACATACATGGCTCCACTTGCACTTGTACTGCCTGTCTCGACTGTTTACCCTTTTCTTTAATTTACGAAATTATTTTGCGTTATCTTATTTTCCTG